AATAAGGAGAAACTCTCTATCTGCCATTTTTACAGCGTGTTTATTATATATAATAAAAATTCTCACAAAAGGGCAGACAGTTTATCCGGTGGTTAATAATTTAAAAATCTATACAAATAAATGCAATTGAAATGTCTGTTTATAATGCCAAATTAACAGCTGTTTACTGAATGTATATGAAATTATATACAGTATTTATAAGAAAAACACAATTTTTAAAACTTTGGTCTGTCTGTCTGTCTGTCTGTCTGTTTACTCCGGCTAATCTCCGAAATAACTGGACCGATTTTGACAGGACTTTCACTGGTAGATAGCGGATGTTATAAGGAGTAATATAGGCTTCTTTTATTTTAGAAAAATTATTAAAATTCCGCGCAAAAAAAAATTATAACCCTAAATTACACGCGGGCGAAGTCGTCGGGAACAGCTAGTATTTAAATAAATATTTCGTGAACAGGTGACAAATGTGCTACGGTTTAAATACTAGCTGTTCCCTGCGTCTTCGCCCGCGTGTAATTTAGAGTTTTACTTTTTGTTGCGCGGAACCCTAATAATTTTTCTAAAATAAAAGTAGCTAAGTAAAAGTATTTGAATCAAACACTTTTTTGGAGCAATTTTTTTTTGCGACTTACCTGTATGCGCAGTACCAAGTGTACCCAGGTAGGCCAGGCAAATAGTCATATACCTGCTTATTGAGTGGACTGATACTTTTCAACAAAGTTCCATGATGCATCAAGCACTTCATGACACATGCGTCATGAGCTCTCGGACCATAAATACCCTACTGGTTGTTAAGAAATGATTGTCAATAAATTTACTAACACAAAATTTATGTAAGACATACTTCGCAGATATCCTCTTATTTTCATTTTTGATAGAATGTATTACAAAAACAACCTATATAATATGTTAATATGTAAAAATTTTAATGTAAAGTGAATCTTAGCAAAACCCTTCTTGAGGTATTTTGAGGTGTCTTGCAATTAAGAATCTATACAACTGTGTAATTACTATAATAAAATTTTTATCACGACAATTTCTGTAGATTAAACATTTTTTTTTAAATTTGAATTGGGTTACGTTTGTTGTAAAGACAGCTCAGACGAGAAATGATGTGAACAGTTTTCAACTTTTAAACGTGTAGTTCGGTTGACCTTACAGTTACAATGAAATGATATCTTAATGTAATATAGTCACATGAGTAGATTAGCCGCATAAGAAAGGTAAATAAAAAAATGCACTACGATCGATCTTCAAGTAACACATTGCAGACCTTTCTTTGGAACTTTCTTTATGGTGTTACGTAGCAGTCAAACCGTTAGAATAAATATATATCATCACGCTATCTATCATAGGACCTGGGCAGTAAAGTTTTAAAATTTACATTGTTGTGAGAATGAAAAATTACACTATCCAATTTTGTGTTGTTCTTATTTTATTCAAAACTGTTATTTTCTAAATATCATAGTTTTTATTTTAGCAAATGAAGCATACCACAATTACTACCAGAGTTACACAAACTTATTGCAGGAGGAGATTAAATTACTCATCTAGAGAATTGATTACGGTTTAAAGATCTTTATTTACTCATTAAGACAAATACATGTCACTTACTAGTACATGAGTGCATTATACAATTTTTAATATGTCACACAGAAAAAAATAATAACAAAAAAAGTCAGCATAAATTAGAGTAGACCAAAATTAAATATAAGTATTATTAGCAAGCTGACTGTATAAGGCGGTGGTCCAAGTTATAAAATGTCTTGGTTTTTAATGTGGTCTTATTATTTTTTTTGAAAATATTGAGCGAACTTGCATCTTTTATATTTGAAGGGAGCTTATTATACATCGGTGCTCCTGCAAATGTTACGGCCTTTCTTCCATAGTTCGTGCGAATATTTTGTAATACAAGATGATTTGCGCGGTGTCGCGTGATGACTATTTTATGTTTTTCCTTTTGTGGTGAACGTCATGTTTGTATGGATCATATTACGTGTTATATACAAGTGTTAAAGATGTATAATTGTTTGATGTTTAAGAATTTTGTTTCATGCTATATTTTAATTAATTTATTATGCAGTGTTTGAAGCTTTGGAGATAAATTTTCCCTGCTGTACCGCATATCTCTTTTAAGTAAAGTAAGTGTGGTATAACCAATGCGTTATATATCAAAGGGCGAGCTCTTGGTGGTATACATCGAGCCATGTCGTATGTAGAATCTATTAGAGGCGAAAGCTTATTTTTATAACTGATAAATGACCGTTCCATGACAGATGTTTATCAACCAATAGTCAAAGGTATTTTTTTGCTTAGATTGGCGTAGCATTTCTCCATTAATGTGTAATTTTGTGTGGTGTTGGATTTTTTTTGTTTTTGACACTAAATATTACGTAAGATGTTTTGGCGGTATTTATTGTTAATAGGTTGTACTGAAACCATCTGAGTAGTGTGCTAAGATCTTGTACAAGAACAAACATGTGTCGTCTGCATACAAAGCGAGATGACTGTGTAACTCTACTTTATAAATATTGTTAACATACACTAAAACAATAGCGGGCCAACAATTGAACCTTGTGGTACTCTACAGTTCAAAGGTAGAGGACTGCTTTGATAATTTCCAATACTTACAACTTGGTATCTATTTTCAAGGTAAGATCTTAATATCTGGAGTGCCGGTCGGTTACATCAATACTTTCTAACTTTTTAGTAGCAACGTCTGACTTACTATGTCAAAAGACTTTATAAGTCAATGAATATACCCAGTGCTAGCTGTTTTTGGTTTATTTTAGTTTTTATTTTAGTAGTTAAGTCAATAGCTGCACTATGAGTACTCAATTTTGAACGAAAACTGTATGGTTGATCACCCAAAAAAGTTATTTCAGTTAAGTGGTTATTCAGTCGTTTATAAATTACTTTCTCCAGGATGTTTGAAAGCACTGGTAAAACCGACACAGGCCGATAGTTTACTGGATCCGTATTTATACCACATTTATAGATTGGATTAACCTTAGCTACTTTAAGAATATCTTGTACCAGTAATTTATTAAGACAGCTAGTGAGATTGGAAATAAATAAATTTTACGTGCTAGAGCTGCTGTGTTTCGTGTAGTGAGTGTAGAGAACCGGAGACCCTTTTTACTGGAAAAGAGGCATTTCACCTTAGTCCTTACGGGTGACATCGCATCTGCATTTTGATTCACAAACGAGGATAGATGTAGATACCTATGGGCCGCAGCAGCCACTTACCACCAGGTGGACTGTGTGCTCGTTTGTCTCCCTATCCTAAAAAAAAAAATTAACACACTTTATTGCTTTTGTACTAATGGAGTCAATCCCTGTGCTAGTGTTAGTTTACAGACCGTCGAAAATATTAGCTATCTCATTTTCATCATATTGTTTGAAGACTGATAATTTGATTTGGATTTGGATTGTAACGGATTTTTGTTTTGGCAATGCGTGTGTGTATTGTTTTTTCATAATGGGACGGTATTTTGTTTGCAAGTTGGGTACCAATATTTTAGAAAAACTTATTGAATAACTCACAGACAGCTACAGGATTTTTAATGACTAAGCTGTTATCCGCTTTAAGATTTGGGGGAGCACAACTCACAATGGGTTTATTTTTAGAATGTGTATTTATCAGTTTCCACATCTTTTAGGATTACTTCTACATTTTTCAAACTGTTTGTAATAATATCTGCTCTTCGAAGTCTCGATAAGTCTCGCCACTTTTGCCTTTTCATCAATATATTCTGATTTTTGTTCATTATTCTCTGGTTCTTGCTTTAGTTTACACGAAAATTGATTCTTCTTTTTAATCCCCATTATGATTTTTTTACTAATCCATTCATTCTAAAGTTGATTGATAATTTTTTAATTTATATCTCTACTTTTTCATATTTTTATCTTTATAAATTCTTCTAGCTTGCCAAAATTACAGTCGTCATTATGGAACTACTGATCTCTAGTTTGCTTTTATAAAATTTCATAGTTAACAGCTTCATATTGTACCTTTTGCATTTGTGCTGGTTTCACTTTTTTATTTCAATGTAGATATTTTTATGGTCTGAAAATGAAGATTCAATGATATCCATATGAAAGTTTTAGTTATTCAGATATGTAGCAACATGTTCTATAATAGTTCTCGACGTTGATGTCACACGAGTGCTGTGTAGTACTTCAATTTTGTTAATTAATTTGAAACCAGTTTCTTTCAGTAGATCATAATACAGCGTAGTATTAGTATCGGATACTAAAATATCTATTTTTGTATCACCAAAGGCAATTATTGCTCTTTTTTTTTGCTGCAGTTGTAGTTGATATGTGTTGAGAAAATTGTTAAGATTCGTATGAACTGGCTTGTACACAATTTCTACATCAAGTTCATATTTTTTATTGATGACACGAATATCTTGTTTAAATAAAACTAGTTCTTGCGGATTTTATGGCGTTTTTTAAATTTAGTAAAAACAAGTTTCATTTAGTTTGCGTAAATAAAAAAAATCATTACGAATATCTTGATCATTCATGCCAGTTTGCTGAACATGTAAGGTAATTTGCATTTTACTCTACACCCCTACCACTATAATTTATTTTGAAATCTGTCTATTATACCGATTTCTGAGGAGCGTCCTCCTTTGTATCTCTAACATGTAGATATAATACAATTTCTGAATAATATAGTCTCTTGCCGGATAAACTTTTTTTAAGGCGTTTACTTTAGCACGAATTAGGGTTTTATGCATCTAGTTCCTATCAAGTGCCCCAAGTAAGCACGTTCTCCGTTCCAAAAATACTTGCTTACGTTTGTTGTTTCCGATGGTTACTTTTGTATAGTTGTCCGAATATTACTTCTAAGATCGATATTATTTTTAATTGTTATTCGTTTTTTAAAGCGATAATTTTCATTTTGCACACATGTTCGCTTTTTGCCGATTTATTCTATATATATATTTTGTGTAATGCTCTACTATTACATAGTTAAATTGATATAATTATCACAATACTCCTAGCCTAACATAGTCATTGATGACTCCATTCAATCTAGTTGCTGCGAGTTCGTTTGGATTAATCGCTAAATCGTTGATGTCATCAGTGACGTCCAATTTTCGAACGTTCCCATCATCAACGGTCACCATCGGCAGCAACAGTAAGCTGATAATCAGACCGTATGGCTGGATCTGAAAAACAAGAATGACTTGTTTATATATATTATTTTATAAAACACAGGTGACAAACGAACATGCAGTGCAGTTTACTGCAAACAAAGAAAGAAATATGCGTTGTTACCTCCGAAAACAAAGACGGACCTAACAGCCTATAATCATATTGGCTCTCTAAACACTTCAGACTGGAACAAAGCACTACAAGCACTTCTATTTGGTTGGCAAGTAGGATGGTACCTAAATGGAAATCGAGATGGAGAAAGAGTCTTACCTCCTATATATTTTAATTACTCAAATTATTTACATTTAAATCACTATAGTTGTCAGATATATCGATGTTTTTTTTTATAGGAGAGGGGGCAAACGAGCATGCGGCTAACCTGATGGTAAGTGACTACCGCCACCCATGAACAACTGCAACACCAGGGGAATCGCAGATGCAATGCCGGCCTTTTAAAAAAGAGTAGGCTCTTTTCTTTGGCTCTTTTTCTCTTTTTGTTAGCATAATGATTTCTTATATATTTACGCGAACACTACACATTTAAATAAAACTAATTTTACGGATTTTATCACGTATATTAACTTATTTTTATATTTCCGACGTTTTGGGTGCTTTCCAGCACCCGTGGTCACGGGGAACAGAGGTGTTTGACGTCCTGCTGTCATAGTTAGCCCGGCTACCTTCAGTTTTTTAATATTAATTTTTGGTTCGATTTACGCAGAATGAGCTTACAGTATCTTGAAGTCTAGCAGTGGTATACTTGGGTTTGGATTTGATTTTATTAATTATGGGATCCCAAGCAGATGGCAGCACCCAACCATCTTCTCTATTGAAATTAGGATGTTTTTTAATTTCGATAGCCTCGCGAATCATCCTTGGGAGGAATAGGTGTTCTTTTGCGAGGATTTGTGGTCTATTAAATCTAATGTAATGGCGGGGACGATCTTGAACATGTTCACAAACTGCAGACTTCCCGATACGTCGGTGCTTCACGTCAGCTATATGTTCTTTAACGCGGGTTTTTATAGATCTTTTTGTTTGTCCTATGTACGAGAGACCACATTCACAATCCAGCTTGTACACTCCTGCATCTTGTAGAGGGATATGACACTTGATGGATGGTAAAAATTGACCAATCTTCTTCAGCGGCTTGAAGTATGTTTTAATGGAAGCTCGCTTCAAGATGTAGCAAACCTTGTCTGTGACTCCTCTAACATAGGGTAGTACAGCAGGCACACGCTCGACTGTGGCTGGCTTCACTTCCCGCGTTCAAGTCCTCTTAGTGATGACAGTATTTTTGCCAAGTTTTGAGCCAACTTATAAGTTGGTGAATCGATCTGGCTTACTATAGGACGTAGTGGGGCATTTGGTTTGTGTATTTTCGGTAACCCATACAATCTCGGTGGTTTGGCACATGATGGTATTGTCGAATTCACGTCGAGATCTCATTTTTCGGAGTATTTCTTTATTAAATCAGTAGTTGTTTTAAGTGTATTAGTTGTAGGGTCTATTTAAACCTTTTTGGTATTTTTCTATTTGTATCTGTAGTGTTGAGGATTGTCTGTTTAAGAATAATATTGGTAAACAGGATTTAGAGGCAAGACATTTCGTCCTTGTTACGTCGAAGTTCAGCGCCGAAACTAAATCTCCCAAAAGACGAATTTAAAGCGTTGTACAACTTACGCAACAGACCAGAGCTCACGATTCTCCGCGCGGATAAAGGAAATGCTACGGTAATAATGGACACGTCAGAGTATAATTTCAAAATACAACAACTTTTATCGGTAGTAAGTACATACAAAAAGGTCAAAATAGACCCTACAACTAATACACTTAAAACAACTACTGACTTAATAAAGAAATACTCCGAAAAATAAGATCTCGACGTGAATTCGACAATACCATCATGTGTCAAACCACCGAGATTGTATGGGTTACCGAAAATACACAAACCAAACGCTCCACTACGTCCTATAGTGAGCCAGATCGATTCACCAACTTATAAGTTGGCTCAAAACTTGGCAAAAATACTGTCACCACTAAGAGGATATACCAGAGCACAAACAAAGGATTCATACCATTTTGTTAGTGAGATAAAAGACCTACATCTCGCTGACAATTAAACTATGGTCAGTTTTGATGTTCAGTCACTATTGACATGCCTACCTATAGAAGACTGCATCTCAATTGTTACTAGAAAGCTAGAAGATAACAACATGCCCACAGAATATGCAGTATTACTCTCAAACACTGCCTCACATCTGGCTATTTATTGTGGAAAGAAGAGTTCTACATGCAAGTAGACGGAGTGGCAATGGGCTTACCTGTATCTCCCGTAGTCGCCGACATATTTATGGAGGACTTTGAGGAGAAAGCCCTTCTTACTGCTCCTGTAAATCCAAGATTCTACAAGCGGTACGTAGACGACACTTTCACAATTTTACCATCTGACAAAGTAACCGCATTTTTAAACCACCTTAATTCCATAAACCCTAAAATACAATTCACAATGGAGTTAGAGGCAAACAATACTTTAGCTTTCCTAGATTTTTAGGTTTTAGTCATCCGAAATCCTGATAACACTATTGGTCATACTGTGTACAGAAAAAATACCCATACCAACCGATATTTAAATGGTGAATCGCACCATCATCCTTCACAGTTAGCTACCGTGGGAAAATCTTTGTTTCAGAGAGCACGAGGGATCTGTGACAGAAAACATCTAGCTGCCGAGCTTCAGCACGTCGAGCAAGTACTGCAAGACAACAAGCTTCGGGTCCCGCGCCTACGTCACAGTGACCGAGTGAAGCCAGCCACAGTCGAGCGTGTGCCTGCTGTACTACCCTATGTCAGAGGAGTCACAGACAAGTCTACATCTTGAAGCGAGCTTACATTAAAACATACTTCAAGCCGCTGAATTAAAAAAACATCCTAATTTCAATAGAGAAGATGGATGGGTACTGCCATCTGCTTGGGATCCCATAATTAATAAAATCAAATCCAAACCCAAGTATACCACTGCTAGACTTCAAGATACTGTAAGCTCATTCTGCGTAAATCGAACCAAAGGTTAATATTAAAAAACTGAAGGTAGCCGGGCTAACTATGACAGCAGGACGTCAAACACCTCAGTCCCCCGTGACCACGGGTGCTGGAAAGCACCCGAAACGTCGGGAATATAAAAATAAGTTAACATACGCGATAAAATTCGTAAAATTAGTTTTATTTAAATGTTTTTGTTAGCATTTATATCGAAACGAATGCAAAAATATGTTCATATTTACCTTTTTCAATTCGCATTCAAAATCTTCCTTTGGGTACACCTCATTAGAGTCAACATCCAACCTGGTAAGAGCGTTGCAAAGTTCCAAGTAGTAATGGTCGAGGAGTTGGTGGTAGTGTTTAGCACGAAACTCTTCGTCAGATCCGGTGAAGATAAAGTACATCAGGTCAACGATCGGGTTGGAGATTTGAAGCATCTGGTAGTCTATAATCACCACTTCTAACTGCCCGTCCTGGAAAATAAAAATTACAGGTTGCATGAAATTAGTTTTGCACGGATTTTATAAAACATATAATATTTTAATTCACTTATTTTACATTCTCGACGTTTTGATTTCTTTGCAATACCCACGGTCACTGGACTAAGGTGTTCAGCATCCAACGTCATAGTGAGTTCTGATCTACGCAGAAAGAACTTTTGTTATCTCGAAGTCTTGCAGTGGTATGCTTGAGTCAGGTATTATTTTTTTATTGTTTATATATATTTTACAGGATCCCAACCAGGTAGTAGTAGCTAGCCAAATTTTTTATTGAAATTAGAATGCTTTTTAGTTTCAACAGACTCACGATTCATCCTTGGTAGGAGGCGTATAGGACTCGGTAGGAATGCGAGGATTTGTGTTCTTTGTGTTCTATGAAATCTGATGTCGTAAGGGTCGGCGGGTATTTGTTGAATTTTTGCGATTCTTTGTAAGAGGGGCCATATTCACAATCAAGCTTTTACACTCTTGTATTTTGTAAAAACGTATTACACTTGACGGATGATAAATACTCAACAATGTTTATCAAAGTTAGTCAATTTTTACCATCCATTTTTTTAATTGGCAACAAATAGTCATTCTTAATTTTATTGAATTGTCAAAATGTATAGTAATGTATACGAGAACCCATAATGCAGAAATGTACTACTATTTTTAGATTTCAAGGCATAATTCAAAGCGGCGTACTTTGAGCAGAGCTTTAAAAATAATTATAACTAGCTGTGCCCACGACTTCGCTCGCACAGAATGTCTTATTTGTTTTAAAGTTTTTTTTTGCTCGAATTATTGATTATATTTTATAAACTACACCACTGTTCCAGTTCAAACAATAATACTATCGATATTTTTTATACTTGTACTGAGAAATTTCACCATGAAATCTATCAAGTGCATGGATGATTTCAACACCGAGGACGGCGTGTCTGTTCAATGTTATACTTAAATAATTCTAATTCAAATAGATAATGTACTAATATAATCTATAATATAAAAAAGAATCGCTGAATGTGTTGCTAAGCGGAAATCTCGAGAGCAGCTGAACCGATTTCGCTAATTCTTTTTTTATAATATTCCTTGAAGTACGAAGATGGTTCTTACCGAGAGAAAAATTCAAAAAATTGCCTGAAAAAGTCTAAAAACAACACTTTTCTATATTCCCATACAAAAGGTTCGTAATAATAGTTATAAGTCAATTTGAACTTTAATACCATACCATAAACTTTAAGTGTTAGTGGAGGGGTTCCGGGAAGGCAAAACTTCCGGAAAACTTTCAAAAGTTCCGGAAAGGCAAAACAATCGAGTGATGTTAGTATCGTACAAATATTAATGTCAATATTTATAAGATGGTAACATTACTTAAAATCAAATTAAGGGTTCCGCGCAAAAAAACTTGATATCCATGAAATCGTAGTAAATTCCACGCAGGCGAAGTCGCGGGGCACAGCTAGTATAAAAATAAAACCGAAAAAAGAGGTTAACAATTGCTCTGTTGATAATCTGTTAATTGAAAACATAAGGACGAAACGACAGTTCGTTTGCCGTGTAGTAGAGGCGTAAATTAATCCATCACTGCTGTACGTCCCGGAGGTGTAGTAAGAGGCGCATATGGGAAATGCCAAAAATCTAATGGCTTTTGATATATGACGCTATAACCAAATCGAGGACATACATAAAATACCCAGACTGGCTAAAATAAAGTGAACCTGGTCGAGCCTCGACGGTGCGACAAAAAATAAGATTGTCTTCATTATGATGTACAGATGGCAAATGTTCAGTGATGTCTCTTATCGCGAGGGTGAAAACCTGCAGCGATCACCGAATGGTCAGAAGCACACTGAACCTAAACGTTAAGTTAGAGAGGTCACATCTAATGAAGTCAGTCGAAAGGCTTTGGATTGGAGCACGAAGGGGATACTGCTCGTGCTCTAAACCAAAGCCTTTCGAGCTAAAAAAGGCTAGAGTTAAAAAATCGTTTTCAGTGCCTGGAAGACCGCAATTCAGTGGACGATTTAAATGACAAGCTCGTGGAAACATTCAATGCGGTCGGAGCTAAGTACTGCAAGCCGCGACGCTGAAGTATACAAAAACTTTCCGATTACACTCCAGCGTTTGGGAGATTACGACACATCTTCTCGTCATATATACCTCAAACAAGATTATACAACTAGTGCGTGTTGCAAGTGACCTCTGGATCTGAGACGTGGTCCTTCACTGCTGACCGTATGAGGAAGCTTAAGGTAGCTCAGCAAGCTATGTAGAGGGCTATGCTCAGGGTTTCTCTGCGTGATAGACTTAAAAACGAGGATATCAGCAGTAGAACCAGAGTAAACGACATAGCCCGCTACTGAATCCTACATGTCATTGTATGAATGCCCCATATCTTGTAAAAAAAGAAACTCAGGAATTATACTTTAACTACGAAAACGTTCCGCAATTTTTAGAATGTAAAATAAGCTATAGCGTACAAGAACTAAAAACACTAAAAAGTCCCTGAGAAGACTGAATTACAAATGACATATTAAAAGCGATCAAAAAGCCCCTATTTAACAATTCTATTTTATTAAACCCTTGCAAAAGAACCGATACCGTCTGACTGGCAAACTGCTATAATTACTTTTGTCTATAAAGAGGAAGATCCATCAGATATGGGCAATTATAAACCAATAAGCTTACTTCAGACAATATATAAATTATTTACCAGCTTGCTACTAACAAGTCGTAAAAATAAAAAATTTATACAACCGACTTCAATATAAATCAAATAAGAACATCATCAATGTAGTGGAAGTCAATTAAATACGCATAATAATGCATATTTAATTGACTTCCACTACATTGATGATGTTCTTATTTATAATAATGCGTATTTAATTACTCAAAAACTACAGGTCAGATCTTCATCAAATTTATATGACATGAGAAGAACCAGTTTCCATATAAAAAAAGAATCATCAAAATCGGTTCACTTAGAAATAGTTCTAAGGTAACATACATAAAAAATACAGTCAAATTGAGAACCTCCTCCTTTCTCAAACGACCACATACAACATGTCAAATTATTGAAAGATATAATGTACGTATACAACAAAAAACTCTACGACGCAGGTGGGTAGCATGGGCTGTGGACAAAAAATTTATCCCCTGATTATATCCACCGACAAGAGATAAAATTATCTTGTCCTTATGCCAAAGCACGACAACGGAGAGAAGTATATCCGTGTTTAACATAACGAGTAGACATATATGCCCCGTCCGTATCGTGGTGCTTAAGCTTTTTTGACATTTGAAATGGACAATTTTATTCTAGGTAGTTCATTGGACGTGGATTTAAGCTTATATTCATAAAAAATCTATCTAAGTCTAAGTCTATCTGCCATTTTATCTACTATGGATATTATATCCACCGGTGTGCCCATGCTCGAAGAGTGGATAAAACTAACCGAGAGTATAAAAAATTTCTCCTTTCCCTGGGGATAAAATGTCTCCTGCCCATGCTAGCTAGCCCTGCTGGATGAGATTTGGAAAAGATGAACGAAAATGGCAAAAGATGGCGGGGGCCTTCACCCGCAAATGGGTACCCAAATAATAATAATAATAATCATGCATAGAAGTAAAATTTAAAGCAATAATTTAAATATTATATATTATATAATGAAAATCAATTTACAATAATTGATTTTATGACATATAATTAATCATCTTTGGGCACGGCAGTGCCCTCGCCAAGTCGAGCCAAAAAAGCGGCACGGCCGTACCATCCTTTTCTCGAAGCAGTTCAGGCCATTTTCGACCCCTATGACTTCGTTGTGGATAAAACTAGAAGCCTGAGTTTTCAGTAACCAAGCATGCATTGTATAGACACAGTATGTTTCAAATTTTATTCAATTTGAACCAGTACTTGAATTATAACGAAAAGAATTATAACTAGTCAAAGTTTCTTAATTTTGTCACTCACTGACTGACCGATCATCAAACTCTAAGGAACTTCTAGCAGACGTAGAAGCTTTTAAGAAATTTTAAATACATTGATTGACTTGGCAATCGTACTAAACAATCTAATTTAATATGTATTATTTGTGAGATACATTGTGTATTCATGCGATGGCCAAGTCAAACTATTTATTTAAAACATAAAAGATTTTTATATTGATATGGTCACTATAAAATGTTGACAGAAAATGTGACAGAAGGATGCTTAAGGACTGATCCTAGGGACTGAATAAATTAACCGACTTGGTATTACATGGATCTCACAACTTTTTACGGTAGAAGAATAGAGTTGCGAGACTTGTTTTTTTTTAACAAGTTATGTTTTTGATGGCATTATTTTCATTGATTTAAATTGTTATATGGTGTACTCTCATTTTATTATTATGTATGTTAATTAAATAATACAGTTTAATTGATATTTGATTTGTAATGATAACTCGATTTATTGTACATAATTGACAAAATTTATTCTGAGTTCTAGCTAATGTTATACTATCTAATAATTGTTGAATTAAAGCTTTCCTTTATGTGTTCTTTAAAGCGTGATTGGTTTTGTAAATTAATTTTATGATATATTAATTTTATGTGATTCTTTTTGGGTAATAAAGCCTAAAACAAACAAATAAATATATAAATTATTAAGCTTTACCTCTCGTGTTCTGTGCATTAAATTACTGGCTCTAAAGTCTCCATGTGCAATTACAGGCCGACGTGATGGCATGTGGAATTTCTTGAATTCATCAAATTGTACCTTCTGAAGGAACGCTCCTACTTTGACTTTGTTTTCTCCTTTGATAACCATCATAGTCTTGTTTATAATGATCTGCAGAAAGCTCTTGATATTGTCTATATCTTTGTGTAGCTTCGTGTACAGTGCATCAAATTTCTCAGGGTATTCTTTGCTATAGGCGATAGATAGAGCATGTAATTTGGAGAGTTCTGTGACTGCTTTGGAGGCGTGATTCCAATCAAAACTCTTCAATCTATCGTAGATATCAAAGCCCTGTGCCGATAAATCTTCCAGTACTAGAATTTCTTTCAGGTGTTCCCTATTGCAGCCGTAGAATTTTACAGTGGCAAGCCTATGCTCTGTCGGGACGTTGTGGTGTTTCTCCATTTCTTGAAACTGCTTGAGCAATTCCGAGTAGAAAAACATTTCAGTCTCGAATATCTCGAATTGCGTTTGAGCCCGTATATTTTCGTTGACAATAGCCGATTTTGCAAACAGTTTGAGGTCATCCTTCCCTGTTGCGGATAGCGTGATATGATGTAGTTGAGAAGTGTGGTTGGCCGCTTCCGTGGAAAACGACTGCAGTTTAGTTTCACAGTCTTTGTAATCGTGTTCAGTGGCGATAGTCTTCAACAAGCTGCACAAGAGCTGCTCCGTGTCCGACATTTTGTGGTTCCGTGTACGTACTACGCTCAATTTATTAAAATCTATTAAAGACGTATACGCGTTCCAAGCGGTGATTAGCTCGAAACAGTACTTTTCCAACCTGTTAATGTCCATCAACCGCTTATCTTACACAATTGTGGAGCATAAGTGGTTGATGGACATTAATTACTAGTAACATTACGAAAGTTTATGGTCTAAATCTATGTAGCGATTATTTTAGATTAATACAGTATTTGTGGATGCTATCACAAAAACTAAACAGAGGTTTTCTAAATTTCCCTGTTAGCATCAATTCCGAAGCTTACAATATCGGAAATCACTGATAAATTTAAGAAACAAAAATACGATCAATTTGAAAGACCCAAAGAAAATAGTTACTTGAAAAGATATTTTGATTTAGGTTATAGAGGGTTATTTTTCAAAGAGTAGCCGGAGGATAAATGTAGATGTCTACGGGCCACAGCATCCACTTACCATCAGGTGGACTGTGTGCTCGTTTGTTAACCCCATTCTATAACAAAAAATCCATCATAGGCCTCCGGCGTGGAAACTCATCTGCAGTTTGATTCTTAACTAAGGATTGATGTAAATGTCTACGGGTCACAGCATCCACTTACCATCAGGTGGACTGTGTGCTCGTTTGTTAATCCCATTCTATAACAAAAAATCCATCTTAGGCCTCAGACGTGGCAACTCATCTGCATTTTGATTCTTAACTAAGGATTGATGTAAATGTATACGGGCCACAGTATCCACTTACCATCAGGTGAACTGTGTGCTCGTTTGTTAACCCCATTCTATAACAAAAAATCCATCTTAGGCCTCAGGCGTGGCAACTCATCTGCATTTTGATTCTTAACTAAGGATTGATGTAAATGTATACGGGCCACAGCATCCACTTACCATCATTACCACTTATCAGGTGGACTGTGTGCTCATTTGTCACCCATGATGTATATAAACAAAGCTTTGTTTATTTGTATAGATAGTATAGGACAATGTTCGTTAACATATTAAAACGCCTGCAAAGAAAATAATAGCAATGTGAATCAAAAGTGATTAACCGCTTCTTGATTATTATATTAGGCTTGTTTTAAACTAATATAATTTCAGTACCTATCTTCACTTCGACTTGAGCTATGATGAAAACCTTCGTTTATCATGTTTTTGATAAATTATAATTTTAATAACTATTCCATTTATGATGATGAAAATTTGTAGTAAAACACACTAGGCTAGTAAAAAATTATTCACTTTCCTCATTCTTGATGATATAAGTTGGTAGGATTCATTTTCTGCCTTTTCTGCTACCAAATAGCAGTGCCTTGACTGATGTGTTACCTATTGAAATGTTTTAAGAGCCTGTATATATATTATATAAGAGTTTTATATATAAAAATTACGTGTCACGTTGTTCGTCCGCGATGGACTCCTAAACTACTGAACTGATTTCAATGAAATTTTGCACACTGTGTGCATTTTGGTCCAACTTGAGAGATAGGATAGTTTTCATCCCGATAAATGACCATCAAAATTTTTTATTGCAAATTTAAGGATTTTTATAGGAAAGGTCGTTGGAAAGGGCAGAACAACGTCTGCCTGGCGAGCTAGTATGTATATATATATATATATATATATAATATATATAAACCGCGAAAAATAACTCCACGCGGATGAAGTCGCGGGGAACAGCTAATATTAAATAAATGTGTGTATTATTTAGTTTGATATTTAATAAATAAATTAATAATAATGTATAGATTATATTCCATAAATATAGTAATTTAATTTGATTGACATGTTCTGTAGATATATTGTAACAACTTTATACATTGTGACATGCAATAAATGAATTATGAATTATAATTAAAAGCAAAACACTTCCTCCAAATATTTGGTATATCCGCAACGTATGGATGAAAACCAAAAGCTTGGTATTATAAATATATACTTACATATTAACTCAAGAGCATTAGAGCCGTGATAGTGCAGGGGCTATAAATGACGAATTATAAATCGGATACAATTTGCTTATTAACATATTTTTTTTTCGTTATGCATATTTCGCATAACTTGTCAACAGCCATTTATAAATGAAAAAATAGTTGTAAATAAAAATATAATTGTTTCTATAATTTAAGTACTAAAATACCAATGGACACGAATCAGTTGGAGTTTGACGGGAACTAGACCTCCGGTGGATTGCTGCTCCTGTTATATCGTTTAAATAATAGTTTGAAGTAAATGTAAATACGTAAAAGTGGCGCAATTTTGTGAATTAAATTTCTGCGCATGTGAACTATTCGTGAAAACGATGAAACAAGTGAAAACGATATGAAACGGTAATGTGAACCTCAAGATAAAGTTCTACTTTGAGATACTTTCGTTATTGACTGTGCTGCTGGCTCAATCTGCCGATAAAATCTCCCGTAAACATTTATTTAATAAGAGGGAGAATACGAGCATGCTGCTCGCCTGATGGTAAGTGACTAACTACCGCCGTCGATGAATAACTGCAATACCAGGGGAATTGCCGGCCTTTTCAAAAATAGTATGCCCTTTTCTTGAAGGTCCCTAAGTAATACAATTTAGGAATCGAAGTAATCGCTGGTGGTGGTCGATTCTACAAGAAGAAAAATTCTTGTAAATCTTACAGTGGTGGACCGCCAATCATCCAGATGGTATGGACCATCCATACCATTTGGATGATTTTCGTTTATCCACTCTAAGAAATCCATACTAGGGTGGATACTCGGAAACGCGTATTCGTTTATCCACCCTAGACGGGGTGGATAGTCGGAATTCACTTTTTGATTGTTGTTCCGACTTTCCACCCCAAGTACAATTCAACAGAAAATATATTCATACTTTAATATATTATTGATTAATTTTAATAATGATTTCTTATATTTACGCGAACACTACACATTTTTAAATAAAACTAATTTTACGGATTTTATCGCGTATATTAATCTATTTTTATATTCCCGACGTTTCGGGTGCTTTCCAGCACCCGTAGTCACGGGGGACTGAGGTGTTTGACGTCCTGCTGTCATAGTTAGCCCGGCTACCTTCAGTTTTTTAATATTAATTTTTGGTTCGATTTACGCAGAATGAGCTTACAGTATCTTGAAGTCTAGCAGTGTTATACTTGGGTTTGGATTTGATTTTATTAATTATGGGATCCCAAGCAGATGGCAGCACCCATCCATCTTCTCTATTGAAATTAGGATGTTTTTTAATTTCAATAGGCTCGCGAATCATCCTTGGGAGGAATCGGTGTTCTTTTGCGTTAGGTTGTATGGGTTACCGAAAATACACAAACCAAACGCTCCACTACGTCCTATAGTAAGCCAGATCGATTCACCAACTTATAAGTTGGCTCAACACTTAGCTAAAATACTGTCACCACTAAAAGGACATACCAGAGCACACACAAAGGATTCATACCATTTTGTTAGTGAGATTAAAGACCTACATCTAGCTGACAATGAAACTATGGTTAGTTTTGATGTTCAGTCACTATTCACATGCCTACCTATTGAAGACTGCATCTCAATTGTTACTAGAAAGCTAGAAGATAACAACATGCCTACAGAATATGTAGTATTACTCAAACACTGCCTCACATCTGGCTATTTATTGTGGAAAGAAGAGTTCTACATGCAGTTAGACGGAGTGGCAATGGGCTCACCTGTATCTCCCGTAGTCGCCGACATATTCATGGAGGACTTTGAGGAGAACGCCCTTCTTACTGCTCCTGTAAATCCAAGATTCTACAAGCGGTACGTAGACGATACTTTCACAATTTTACCATCTGACAAAGTAACTGCATTTTTAAACCACCTTAATTCCATAAACCCTAAAATACAATTCACAATGGAGTTAGAGGCAAACAATACTTTAGCTTTCCTAGATGTTTTAGTCATCCGAAATCCTGATAACACTATTGGTCATACTGTGTACAGAAAAAATACCCATACCAACCGATATCTAAATGGTGAATCTCACCATCATCCTTCACAGTTAGCTACCGTGGGAAAATCTTTGTTTCAGAGAGCACGAGGGATCTGTGACAGAAAACATCTGGCCGCCGAGCTTCAGCACGTCGAGCAAGTACTGCAAGACAACAAGCTTCGGGTCCCGCGCCTACGTCACAGTGACCGAGTGAAGCCAGCCACAGTCGAGCGTGTGCCTGCTGTACTACCCTACGTCAGAGGAGTCACAGACAAGGTTGGCTACATCTTGAAGCGAGCTTCCATTAAAACATACTTCAAGCCGCTGAAGAAGATTGGTCAATTTTTACCATCCGTCAAGTGTCATATCCCTCTACAAGATGCAGGACAAGCTGGATTGTGAATGTGGTCTCTCGTACATAGGACAAACAAAAAGATCTATTAAAACCCGCGTTAAAGAACATATAGCTGACGTGAAGCACCGACGTATCGGGAAGTCTGCAGTTTGTGAACATGTTCAAGATCGTCCCCGCCATTACATTAGATTTGATAGACCACAAATCCTCGCAAAAGAACACCGATTCCTCCCAAGGATGATTCGCGAGGCTATTGAAATTAAAAAACATCCTAATTTCAATAGAGAAGATGGATGGGTGCTGCCATCTGCTTGGGATCCCATAATTAATAAAATCAAATCCAAACCCAAGTATAACACTGCTAGACTTCAAGATACTGTAAGCTCATTCTGCGTAAATCGGACCAAAAATTAATATTAAAAAACTGAAGGTAGCCGGGCTAACTATGACAGCAGGACGTCAAACACCTCAGTCCCCCGTGACCACGGGTGCTGGAAAGCATCCGAAACGTCGGGAATATAAAAATAGATTAATATACGCGATAAAATCCGTAAAATTAGTTTTATTTAAAAATAATTTTAATAACGACAAACTTAAACAAAAATCATATTGCGTATTGCATTTAAAACAAAATTCCTCGTTTTTAATAATAATAAGCAATTTATAGATTCTGCAATATGTCCAGAAGAAGATCAACACTAATTTGATTATTGAGTAG